ACATTCGGCTGTAGATGAGGATGCAAGCGATAGCAAATAGTAGAACTGTGCCCAAACATACTATAATAAGAGAAATAAGGAGGATGTGGTTCTATTTCAATTTTTTTGCCAATGCCCGGTGTGAATATTGTCAATCCATATCTCATCCGGAGCTGGTTGAGTGATATCTCTCAACTAACACACAAGCCACAGATGATCTGGTGACAGAAAGATTAGAACTATCCACCTTGAGAGGCTTACCGTAAGCAGTTGCTAAAGAATAGAGGATTTACATGTTGAACAAATGTAATTTTAACCTCGAAAACTTTATCCAAATTGGAATGATAGAGGACTCCATTTTTGGATCAAAACCGATAGTCCACTTCAGAATTGTTATAAAACGATTGTCGATTTTGATAACTTTTTGAGAGAAAATGCGAGTGTAATCGACATCGTGAGATAGCTGAATAAGTATATGTCGACCGTCTAGTAGACCAATGTTCCAACAGCCCAATAGTTTCATAACATCAAATTCTTTCTTAATGATCTCCAATTTTGGGTGACCATAAATGAATTTCCCCACTAAAGCAAAACGCCAAGAGGACGCTAGATTACCAGTTTCAACCTCGGTGAGAATAAGTACAGTCTTCCCATTTTTTTATAAGTTTTTAAATAAAAGTGTGTTCGCAGTCACCTTTAAGAGCCTTGTGGTACAATTGTAGAACATTGCAGGACTTATCGATAGCAAAAGCAGACTGTAAACCTCGAGGGGCACGAGCTGGAATGGGCAAGACGCCGGCAAGGGCATTTGAATAGGAATAAAGCGTCGAGACATTCTCCCTCACAAGGTCAGGAAAGAAATAGTTTGACGGGCCGCAAGGAAGCGAGGAAACTGTTGACGCTGACGGGCTCGAGTTATCTAGAGCGAGACGCTGTAGCGCCTTCGTCTAAGGAAACAGAAGCAAGATCGGCTACGGGAGACGACTGTAGCGCCTTCTTCTAAGGAAACAAACGACAACGACCGAAGCATTCCGTCGACTACAAAGACAACTGTGAGCGATCGACTTCAACAGGAGAGACAGGAGTGAACGTCGTCGTGGGAGACGCCGAAGAGAAGCGAGAAGCTGATAGAATCACCGCCGGAAATCGCCATGGGGCGAAACCCTAGCAGAGTGTGTCGCTGCCGACGCAAACCCAAGATATAGATTTTCTACAACAATTTTTTTGTCCTTTTTCTAATTTTTTTTTAATTAAAAGTGTCTGCCAAAACTTAGCAATATAGGTGTTCTCTCATGCGAATTTGACATTTCAGACTCATCAACACTACCCGTTTGCAAACAAAGCTCTTTTTGACAAACTTAGATGATAATTGATAAGATTTAGGTCCAAAAAACATACGTCGTGCTGACACTCCGTCATTTTCACTACGTTTACTCTTTTTGATAGTAGGATATCTTTTTAGGTAATTTTGACGTTCTGGACGTACTCGTACAATCCATTTTGCGATCAGAGATCATTTGAGCAACTTCAACGATCTTTGAAACCATTCAAACCCGTAGCACACATGCCATGCCGCTAGCCTGTCATTTTTGTCATGTTTGCTTCTTTCAACCATGGATGACCACTCCTTAGGTATTTTGATAATTTGAACTCAACAGTGAAGTCCGATTTACAAAAGAGTATTATTTCAAGTAATTTTGGGTGTGATCGAGATACTTAATATATGATTCGTGTGATGTTGCAATAATTGTTTATTGTTATCACCGTGTTCCAATTAACTCATTTTGTGGAGTATATATGAAGGTAAAAAATCTAATGCCAGTTAAGAACACAACCTAAGTCCTCTTCCGCACGATTTTGCCCCTAAATGACACCACAAAAGGAGTGGTTATAACGAAGGCTCTCTAATTGGATGACAAACCCCTCAATGACACTATAATTTCAAGGTCACACAGAAGCTCATATGTTCCCAAATGCTCAATCTACTTGAGCTGTCAACCAAAGACCGCACTTGATAATACGCAAAGTCCTTTGTAAGTTAAGTTCAACTTAAACTTGTCCCATTAGGCAAACATCCACCTTAGATGAATAAGGCCCCATTAGATGGAGCAACCCATATCTGTCAAAAAGGATCCTTTAGTAAAATTAATGCGTCAATTATCTCTTCTGATTAAGCAGACTAGGATCTTTGGCAATTCATGATGATGGAATTAGGAAATCTTAATCATGTTCATCATCATTCTCCCCTCACCATCTATTCAAAGCTAATGATGATTGATTTCTATAGATGAAACCAAATTATCGTTACAATAAACTAAATATTTAGTGTTTAATGATTAGCCTTAGTCTAAAATTCTCTCTCGTCACTAGGAAAGATAATTAACCATAAGGGCTTTTGCATATGGGAAACCTCAAACTACATTTTAAAGTACTCACAAAATGAGAATGAAATCTCTGAGTTAGAGTCTTATCTAACAATCAAATATTCCTTCTTAAAATTTGAATGAAAACTAACCCAATATGATCTCAAAAGAGTTTGGGCACAATATTACAAGCCTACATTTAATTAAAAAAATTGCCCATAAAATAAAAAAATTCCCTTCAATTCAAACCAAAATGAACTTATAACCTATTTGATACCCCAATATAGGTAAGTCAACACAACCTACCTAAGTCAACCAAACCAACCAAAATAAACCCAATTGACTTGATCAATCCAAACTAGATGAACTAAGCTAGTTGAACTATCCCAACACAACTATGAACCTAAATAATAACAATAAAAAAATTTTTTTGTTGATCAATTCCTTGCTCAAATTATTTCATCCTTTCTATTCGCAAGAAAACTTCTTATCTTCTGGAGATATTCTAAAATCTATTGATAAAGTTTCATGAGAATCTATGTTGAGCATCATTTACTAAAATTCGTGCAACCGTAAAGTATTTCTTTGTCTCTCATCTTGAATTTCTGATGCATCACCTTTGAACCTCCTGATAGAATTCTTTTTGTCCTCCTTTGAACCTCCTGATGCATAAGAAATTTCTCATGCATCACCTTTGAACCTCCTGATAAATTCTTTGAGCATCATTTACTAAAATTCGTGCAACCATAATAGTCTTTCTTTGTCCCTCATCTTGAATTTCTTATGCATCACCTTTGAACCTCCTGATAGAATTCTTTTTGTTTCTTTTTTCTTCAAGCTGGATTCATGAGATGAATTTTACCAACTCAAAAACCCACAGAAGACCTTAAATTCTTCATCTAGCAGCATTTCAACCATCCGAAATAGTGTTATTGCAACTCAAGGGGATAATGGAAACCAAATACCATACTCGAGGTTAGTTCATCTATAGTTTTTTATTTATGTTATTTATCTTATGTCCTTATTTCTTTATATGTTAAACGCCAATGGTCAGAGTCTTACTTATCAATGGAACCTCATTTGATATTTAGTTCAAAACATTCAATAATTAATTTGTTGCAGGCCCTTCTGTGAATAACTTTTTCATATTCATTGTAAATAGACACTGGTTAATGAAACATAGCAAGCACATGGCTACCTGGAGGAACTATTCCTTCTTGATGTTGAGCACTAATAACTTTCTGTGTTCTTTTAAGAATTCAGCAATTCTTCATTGCAGTTATGTAAGGGATTGGTCACAATGCACAACTGAGAAGGTAAACATTATCCATCTGATTATAACAGATGCTTTGACGCAGGAGCTTCTCCGCATGAGACCCTCCCAATGATCCTGCTACAGTGCAGCTACAGTGCAGCTACAGTGCAGCTACAGTGCCGCGATTGCTTCCGCGCCTAGACCGGGCGTAGTAAAACTTGGGCGGCTTAGACCAGTTCATACCAGGATCCTGAGGGCTGGCCGACCTTCCTTACTTGGATTGGAGCCTCTTTTAAATAGTGGGCCCAATCCTAATTACCTAGGGCTTATTTTTTTGATTCCTGTATTCAGGTTTTTAGTTTTGTGTGTGTTTCTGCTCAGGACAGCCCTTGCCATCCCAGCTTCTTCCTTTTAGGGCAGCATCCAAAGATCGGTGGTGCTTCGGCTGTAGCTCATCCTGGTAACATTCTTCTAAGGGTCGGGCGGGGTGCTCCGGCTGTAGCTTGTTCCCGAGATAGTATTTATCCTTGACCTTCCCTTCCCCCATTCCTCGCTTTGCTGCCACACCTCTTTCTTCTCTAAAGCCACCCAAGACAGCCACCACTGCTGTTCTTTCCCACAGTTCTCCTCTTTCCAGCCACCTCTCTTCCACAATACCTGCTGTCCTCCTTCCGAATCAGCAGCCAGCCCTCCTACTTGCTGTTTCTAGCAGTCCACAGTCTTCCAACCGTCCCCGACTAGCTGTCCATTCTGGGTTACTGCAGTTTTCCCCTTCCCAGCCACAGTTCCGGCCACCCGCTTTGCTTTCCTTGCTGTCCCTGCCCTCCACCTTTGCTGCCGCAGCCCGCAACACCTTCCCTGTCCCAAACAGCAAACTGCCGCTGTTTGGATTGTCTTCCCTTGCCACCCTGCTGTGCCAGCTGACCATAATCGCTGCCACCTCTCATCCACATACCAGAAACCCGTTCCCTATCTTGCTGCCATCTCTTCAAAAACCTTAATCGTCACCACCATCACCCGGGATGACATGAGTTGTGTCGTATGTGTTATATTTTCCCTTTCAAATGTGTTTGATTGTAACCGCCTATTTGCTTCTATTAATAATATTTATTTTTTCTATTATGGCTTGGGTTAACTACGGTATCATGCTTCCTACAAATTAGCTTAAAGATTATTTACATAAATCTGAAGTGATCTACAGATTTTTCCTAGGAACATCACACTTTTCTATAAAGCAGGTCTATTGTTAATTTTGTGAATGCAGCATATCCATTTCATGTAATTTGAAGCTTTAGACTATTTTATGAGAATTGTGCATAACATTCATTTAGAACCCCACAAAAAATTGAAAGTTCGCAACAAAATGATTGTGCAGGGAAGAAATAGATCATAGTGATAGGTACCTTTGACCCAATTACAAGTTTCTGCTTCGGGTTGATGCCGTATTCGTTTGGTATAACACCATCTGCTAGGAACTGGAAAGAAAAAAAAAGAGAGCCAGTAAGTCCTTTCTGAAGAAAAAAATCAGTCAGATAAGATCTGACAGTTCTTGAAAAGGTATGCTTTATTAAAAAGAAAAAAAAAAACCAATAAAAAACATTAACATTTAAACGCCACCAACACTGACAGACTCGTAAGTAACCATTTGATTTCTAAACTGATGTTTAATAAATAAAGCCTTCAATAAACAACACCTGCGCCATGTGCCTAATATTCCAGAGCCCCCGTGCCACGGACTCAAATACCGTTGCCTTTTTTTTTTAAAATATATATATAAATAAATAAATAAATAAATAATATATATATATATAGACAGAGAGAGAGAGAGAGAAAGAGATAGATAAAGTGATTCTTCAGTTAAAGTCTACCTGGGCAACTTTAAATAGCTCTGTCAAACCTTCAAGATTAAGATGTGCATTATGAAGCAGATCATATCTGTTAAAAGAATCCACAGTCAAAATAATGGAGAGGAAATGATGACCAAAAAGCAACAATAATGAAAAACGGCAAAGGAGATATGAAAAAAAAATATTATGGACTAACAGCTGAATGAGAACCGGTGATTGTGCTGGAGAAAGGGAACAATACCCTCATATTGTGGTAAAAAGAAATAACTTTAGCATGTAACTCAAATTTGAATCTGATGGTCAAGTTGCATTATCATGCGTTCAACCCAAAACAAAATATTTAAACCCAAATTTTTCATTCAGAAAACATGACAGCAGTCAAGTTGAGAACACATGCCAATAATCATAACCCAAAAAGGCAAAATTCTGAAGGAGACCATCTTGCGCATACATTTGATATTTCTGCATACTTCTGCCGGAAATATTTTTGATTAAATTGAACAACCCATAAACTAAAATTGAATAGCATTTACTTTAGCTTAACTAAGCTACCTTTTAAACAGCTTACCTAAATTTGAAAGGGAAGCTGTAATAATTGAAAAAAATAAATAAATAAAATAAAATAAAAATTAATTCATAATAACTGCCGAGTGGTTCGTTTAAGTGAAGTCAGGGCCGTAGCCTACAGAGAACAAACAAGCGAGAGGGAAAAAAGAGAGATTGAAATAAGAAGAAGAAGAAAAAGAAGTAAGGGAAGAGGTCACCATTTACATGCATGGGAGGCTTCAACACTTGTGTAGCCGAAGGAGGAAAATCGCATATGAGCGAATCAGTAGCTTCATGCACAAGTCAGACACGAAATTTGCTCTGCTTGTTGAAGGAGGAAGGCATGGGTGTATCAAAGTTAAAGGGTGGAAACATCGAGAGGTTCAAAGAACTGGCACGAGCCATCATATGAGAAAGGAGACCTTTACTATGACAAAAGTTGTACCCTAGCCGAGTAAAGGAGGGAGAAGATCAGCTTCGTGCGCTGCTACTGTGCAAAGTGGGAGGCTTAGTGGCTTTGCTTACAGGTTCGAGTGGAGGGGTCGAAGCATTTGTGTGGGAGAAAGGGAAAGTCGAGCCGTGTGAATGTTAAGGCTTTTAATTGATGTTTAAGAGGTGAGTTTTAATACTCTTTTAAGTAAGTTATTTCATAGGGTCCAAAATATCATGGAGAATGTTTCTTGCTCTGCCAACGTTTTTTGCCGGTAGAGCCTTAGTTTCAGTGAACCATGTCCCTGGGTTCAAATTGTATCTCTCTCATGTCCATCTACCTTCCTCTCATGATCTGTTGAGCTCTAAGTAGATGTCCCTTAAGCTCTGCCAATATCCTGTCTTCTCCTGCAAGTACTGGTCGACACTGGATACCAATGTAGTGCTATGCCCCTAATGTATCAGGTGAGGTGAATCACGCCCATACAAATTCTTAAGTGGTCGTTTGTGTTGCAACATGGTACAAAATATTATACCAATATTCGACCTAAGTAATTCACTTGGCCCAAAACTCCAACATATCCAATACAAAACAACATAGATATGTCTCCACACTCTCGTTTAACACCTCGTTTGACCATCAATCTGGGGATCATATTATGTGCTTCTCTTATGAAGTGTTCATTATAACCTGAACAGCTCCTTACAGAATTGGCTGATGATCGTTTAACACCTCGTTTGACCATCAATCTGGGGATGATATTATGTGCTTCTCTTGTGAAGTGTTCATGATAACCTGAACAGCTCCTTACAGAATTGGCTGATGAACACCTTGTCCCTGTCTGATACAATATCTTCTGACACTCCATACAAATGAACCACTTTTTGTATGAACACTGTAGTGACTGAGACCACAATGTAGGGGTGTCATAATGTAATGAAACGTACATACTTGTTAAGAAGATCCACTACTATCAAGATCACTGTAAACCCTTATGATTGTGTCAATAAAATCTATCGTTAGTTCTTCTCAAATCTTCTTCAATAAAGCTAAGGGTTGTAGCAATCCTGCTGGAGCCATGGTTAAGTACTTGTGTCGTTGACACACATTATACCGCATCAATATGTCATCTACTTCTCTACGCATCCCCACCCAATAAAGCTCTATCGATAGACAACTATATGTCTTTTGTACCCCCGAGTGTCCCTCAACTACACTGCCGTGAAACTCCTGCAATAGTTTGGGGACCGACCTTAGTAGAGTAGCTACTACCCCCCTAAATGCATATCCTAGATGACAGTTTTGATTAATAGCAACTCTGTTTATATTTTCCTAAGGCTTTCATCCTGCTCGCTTTCCCATCTCAGGACTTCCTAATTTATGACCAAGGGTTTCGATAAGGCTGTCAGCTGAGGCACCTCCAACTCTCTCAACGATGCATCTGCGGCTTTATTCTCCAATTCTAGCAGGTATTGAATCTCAAAATTATATCCCAGTAAATTGGATAGCCACATTTGATGCTTCTCAATCAGTATCCTTTGCTCCAAAAGATATTTAAGCTTCTCTGATATGTCCTGACTAGAAAGTGTCATCCCAATAGGTAGGGCCATTGCCACTTCTGAATGACCAAGACAATAGTCATCAACTCCCGCTCATACTGACTTAAGCCTCACCCTAGCTGTGAGCACCTAGCTAAAGTAGGCAATCGATCGTTGGTCCTGCATGATTAATGCTCCCAATTTATACCTTAACACATCTGTTTTCACCACAAATGGTCTACTGAAGTCTGGAAGTGCTAATATCAGAACGCTAGTCATGACTCTTTAGATGTTCAAAAGCCCGTGTTGTTGCTTCCCCCGTTTGTAATTATCTTTCATTAGTTGCTTCGTCGGTGACAATGCTATTGTGTCGTATCCCTTCACGAATTTTCGGTAGTATCCAGTAAGACCTAGGAGTAATGCTCCATCGCTACTTTTGCTATGGTCACCACGTGCCCTAGGTACTCCACTTGTAACTGTGCAAATGAACATTTCTTCAAGTTAGCGTACAACTGGTGCTCTCTTAAAGTCTCCAAGACTGTCCTCAGGTGCTCCACATGCTCTGTCTTAGAATGTCATCGAAGAAGACATGATGAATTTCCTAAGATATTGTGGACGGAGCTTTGATGAGGTCAAACGACAATAAGAATAACTTGAAATATCCTTCATGTATCCTAAACATTGTCTTATGCACATCAGTTGTATTCATCTTGATTTGATGGTATCCCAACTTTAGATTGATTTTCGAGAAAATTAATGCCCATAAAGCTCATCAAACAGCTCATCAATCATAGGGATAAGAAACTTGTCCAATATAGTTTCTCTGTTCAAAGCCTGTTAGTCCACGCAAAATTTGCGGCTACCATTTTTCTTCTTTACTAATAAGAGTGAACTGGAAAAGGGGCTCACTAACGAGCATCTCTCAGATCAACTTTTATATCTTATCCTTTTGAATCTGAGGATAACAATATGGTCTGATATTGATAAGATGGACACCCTCATTTTGGTTAATAACGTGCTCGTGCTCCCTTGATGGTGGTAATCCGCTAAATTGCTGAAAGATGTCGGGAACTGCTGTAGGAGCTGTTGAATACCCTCATGGAACTCATCTGATTTGGGATCCTAAATTTTCTCTATGCTCTGCAACTCCACCAAATAGCCTAACCCTGCTCTCTGTATTGTCTTGTCAATGATTTTGAGCGAGACCATGATTTTGCATAGGCTAGCATCTCTTCTCAATACCACATTCTTACCCTCCACCTTAAACTCCATTGCGAGTGATTTCCATTTTACCTTCGTCTCCCCATATGTCTACAATCACTTCATCCCCAAAATTACATCGGTGTAGTCCAATTCCAAGAGAAGGAAGTCACTCACCAGTAGGCCATGTAGTGTCAGAGCCACTCCTTGCAAATTCTCCCACTTTTATTCACCTTCCATATCCCTATCATGACACCAAAGCTCCTCGTATCTACAAGCTCAAACCCTAGCTGATCCACAACTTGATTTCAGATCAAATTATGTGTGACCCTACTATCCACCAACACCATAATCGACTGCTCCCTGATCTGTCCCCTCAACTTCATAGTGTGACTTGGAGTAAATACCACCACTGAATGAAGGGACACCTCTGCTACATCCAAATGCAAATACTCATCTTCATTTACCCTGTCTTCCTTAGACTCACTATTTATCTCCTCATCAACTACAATGATCTGAAGTGCACGTTTCTTACAATGGTGGCCCGGGGCGTACTTCTCGTCACATCAGAAACATAAATTTTTTTTATCTTTTATCCCACACTTCTACATCAGTCGGGACTAGTCCTCGTGCTCTTTTCCTTTGATTTCTCCTTTTAAAATGACACCGTCTGGGTCCTCAATATCATGACCGTCGAGGTAATCTTTTATCCCACACTTCTACATCAGTGAGACGTTTGAAATTGCCCTCGGGACTAGTCCTCGTGTTCTTTTCCTTTGATTTCTCCTTTTAAAATGAAACCGTCTGGGTCCTCAATATCATGACCGTCGAGGTACTCTTGTAGAATCATTTTGTGGTGTTGTCTTTGCTAGTCTTCTTCACTTGCTTCTTATCTTTCGCAAAATGTGCGAGCTCTATAATCTCACTTAATACCCGTGGTCTCAATAGTTGGAGGACAGCTGAGATGTTGGCCTTTAGGGCCTTTAAGAATTCCCCTCTAGCTCTGTTGTAGAAATAAACTTCAGTTACCTCGACAAGAGCTAGAACCTCTCCATGTAGTCTGTGACCGTCCCCTCCTAAGCTAAAACATAGAATTACTCATGTAGATCACCTTCATGAATTACTCAAAAACATTCCAACAAACAATCCATATACTCCTATCACAGCCGGATCAAATACCTCTCCTCCATGCACTAAAACCATGCTAGGGCCTTTCCCTCTAAACATAACCTTGTCGTCATGCCCGTTTACTACAAAGTATCGCTCCACCCTATACACCCATCCATGTGCATCTTCCTCTTCAAAGATCGGCATCTTCTGTTTCTTTCACCTCATATCGCCACCCCAAAGTCCTCTTCTTCCGGCGTTTCCCCC